GGAGGAGAACAGAGACTTATTTCAGGTGGGAGAACACTTCGCCTATAACTTGCAGGAACAAATGACCCTGACTGCACCCTCTGTGCACCATTTCTTAGGACCAGAGGTGTTTCTGTAAGCCTGTCACCAGCTCGCTGCTGTTTCAGACCCTGCATGCTCCGCCTGTGCGTTCAGAGCCAGCTCCAGGGCCGGCAGAGGGGCGAGGGCCGGCAGGGACAGGGTTAAGGCGTGTCCCCAAGGAGGGGAGCAGAGACTCTGGAGCTCCACCAGGCCAGGCCAGAGGTGAGCGCTGCCAGGAGGAAATTGCTGCAGCTCCACCGAGATCATGAGCGACCTTTCCTCTTGGAGAGGGGTGAAGTAAACAACACTTATCTCGGATTTAGTGCAGTTGAGACAAGCAGCACTTTATCTCTGTTCCGCGGCACACGGAGCAGGGAGGCAGAGGGATGATTTTCCTGCTTTTATGGTGTAAGCAATCTCTGCTTTCTTAGCCTGCTCTCAAGTTGAGCCGTAACACCTCCTCATGGAAAGATCTTGGCCAGGGCAGCAGGTTACGGGCTTGCACAACGTGCCATAAACCTCCTCACGCAGTTCAGCCTTTCGCAAGTGTAGTCTGAGCTCTCCTTGGTGGGTTGATATTTTTACTCCATGAAATTTCCACATCCTCCATACCGTTTCCTTTCAGAAGGTACCATGGGACATGCAATCCCTGATCTTTCTATTTTGGATTTTTTTTCCATCCATAGACATAAATGTCCCTCTACACACAGTTTCAGATTCCAGCAGAAGGAAATCTGATGGGGCTTTTTTTGACAGTGCATTTCTTGTGTCTATCATTTTTACTACATGAATGATACCTGGAATACCTTATATGCTGCAATGGTTAGAAATTTTCCATCAGGTTCTTCCTAAATAGCCCAGTACTCAGAAGATCTATTCCCCTTTACTGCCAGAGTGAGAACTTCTGGAAGCCCAGCTCCCAAATCCAGCTGTGCTTAGGGACACATGCCTCAGGTGTGGGTTATTTCAGCACTGTCATCCACAGTCTGCCATCCTGCAGTCCCCTGAGACCTGTGTCCCATCTGCTTTTCCTGAAGTCAATATTCAACTCCTACAAGTAAGTATTAAGTAAGTGACTCCTGCTAAATAATTAACTGTTTCTGGGAAGCTGTTGGGCTGGGGGGTGCTCAGCTGAGCAGCCAGCACGTGTCTTCAGGAGACACACAGACACTGTGCCCCTTTGGACTGCTCTTCCCCACCCCTGGATAAGCTGGATAACTGGTCACAGCCCCTCTGAAGGCTGAGACACTCCACAGTCCATGAGCACCCTTCAGGTGCTGGATGGGAGTCCTCAGGGGAGACCCTCAGTGAGCATTAAATGGATGAGGCACCTCTGCTTCCATAAACTCAGCAGAACTCCAAACCTTTGCAGAAGTTGATCTGTGGAAAGCAGTTTGAAGGATCCAGACTTAGGAAAAGACTGGCATACAGCAGGAATTCAGTACCAATTGTATGGTTTTGAGTTAGAAGCAGCGCTTTGCAGGAGCAGGGATCCATGCCTGTGTGCCCTATAGGAAAATAAAACTATCAAACTCAGAGCCCAGCGGGAAAAGTCTTTTCCACACGTCATATCAGGGCAGAGCCTTGTTTCCCTAGGCTGGCACAGCACCAAAGCCCTGCCAAGCACCTGCACCTAAGCCAGGAAGCATCAAGTGAGCTGATATTCCAATGCAGCAGTAAGGAGCTCGTGTGCCTTAATGCACGTGTTGGACCAAGGATATGCAAGGGGACACAAAAACCAACTTTCTAAGTACAGTTTGAAGCATTTGGTTTGAAGGACAAAAAGTCAGTACCGGCATCCTACCCTAAGGAAATCATTCTCTCACCTGCAGGTTATTTAGGAGGCAAGTCTCCTGTATTTACTTTTCCCCTGCCCTTTTTCCTGGGCTCAGTATAAAGTGTTACATTGACACAAGTAAGCGGAGAAGTTCCGTAATTTAACCTGTGCCATTAAAATTTCAGGCTCCACGGGAAAAGCAACCCTGCCTGTTCATCAGGTCCAGTGAAATTCGTGTGGCCGGTGTCACCTTTCCACAAACTCTGCAGCAAGAGGCACCTCCCCACCCCTGCCAGGCCTTGCTGAAGGCAGGTAAGGAAACAGGATCATCTCTGCCAGCATGACCCCATTCCTTACTCCCTGAAGGACCAGGCTGCTTCCCAGAGGGAGGAAGGAAAGGCCTGAGCCATGCAGTTCAGGGATAGCGTGCAAACACGGATTAATAATTCAGGCTATTCTATTTTGGACCGGGAATGTGCTGCCCCTCACCTGCACTGCTGAAGGCAATGGGTGCCCGAAATAGAAACTCCTCCAAGAGCAGAGGGAGCCCAGCCACGAGGGCTGTGCCAGAGGCACTGCAGGGACAGCCTTTGCAAGGTCAGCACTTTCCCTTCTGTCAGCGGAGTCTTGGCTGTGCCAAGACTGCCCAGAAACCTCCCCCGGGCTGATGGGATGCTGGGCCTCCTCCAGTGCAGCCAGCAGCAGCAGGGGCTGCCCACCACGTTATCCAAGCAGACAGCCAGGCAGGCTCCTGCACAGGGAGTGATTTTCCTAAGGAATACCCAATCCATGCACTGCTGTGCCTGTGCTGGTACAGTCAGCTCGCTCAGCACATCCCACTGTGCTGTGACCTTTAACAATGCAGTTCTGCCACAAGTCCTCCTAAGAGACTGCTTTATATAGCCTTTACCTCAGATCCTGAGAGCTCAGTGACCCAATCTCTTTCAAGAAATTATTCCACCTCAAGCACTGACTTTCGGAAACGCATCATCTGACTTTCTGGGAAATTGCAAATGTTATATTGTTAGAAAACACAAGTCACAGGATTTTACAAGTGCACAGGCTTAGATCACTGGTGCAGGTTTACTGGCATTTCTGGTTTGTGTTTTGCTACATCAGCTCCCGAGTGAATAATTTGAAAAGTTATGTTTGAAAAGTTATATGTTTGAACTGATAAATTCTAGGCCAGTTACATATAAATCTGAGTTCCTACAGGTACATAATAATTTGGATATATTTGCCTACTTAAAACTCCGAGGAGATACCATTCCATGGCTTTGCACCTTGCTGCTAAGCTGACTGGTTACTTCCAGCTGGGTATCACAACCCGCTGGCTCCCCAGTGCCAGCCCTCAAGGCTCCAGAGAGGAACATCCTGCCCCACAGGGAATTACCTCTCACCACCTACAGCAGCACTTTCTCACCTTGCAGCTCATGGGCACACGAGAACTGAGATAAATAACCTTAATTCCGTGGTGAAAGCACAAATCAATAACCTCCAACCACTCCTCTTATGCCAATGTTAAACGATGCTGATTCCCATTTCCCAGAACCTAACAGGGAGAGCAAGGACTCTTCTAGAGCACCACGATTCCAGCCATGGAATCCTTATTCTGTGGAGCTTTCCACAAGGAGAATTTCTGGCAACCTTTAAAGCACCAAGTGACCAAAGCTGTGCAGTTTGGTGCTCAGCACCACAACGCTCCCCTACTTATCACAGAAGTTATCAGACACCCGAGCAGCTGCATAACCACGATTCCTTCATCTGTAGTGGTTCCTTTTTTAACAAAGCAGAAAAAGACAAAAACATGGAACAATCAGAAACTGCCAGAAGAGACAAACTGAAAGTCACTGGTTTCGTAAATCAATTAAAATAAAAGGGAAGGAAAAAAAAAAAAAAAGAAAGAAGAAACAAGAGGAAGCCAAGATTTTAGCCATGTGCTTCCTCAGCCAACCGCACAAATTGATTCGTGGCAGTGGAAGGTGAAATCTGGACCGGCCCAATTCGCTCCTCTCAGGAAGCTGCAGATGCTCAAATTGCAACACATGACCCAAAGTTTCAGACAATTGCAGCAGATTCATAACTCTTCTAGAATGAGACATTGTGTAATGGTGTGATGGGAAGAATATGCAATAGGAATTACTGTAAGCCTGGAATGGGCTCCAAGACAAGGGATGATGGGGCAGCAGTGAATTTTCTGTGCCTGACTCCAAGGCCGTGTGCTCCACCTGTTTTGTGCATGAAAAAGAATTATTTTTTTATTTTTCTTTTTAAATGCTGTGCATTAGCACTATCCATCTTCCTGACTGCAGGAAGTGAATTCTCCGGAGCAGCGGGAATACCACAAGGTTTGGTGACAGGGCCAGCCTTTGCTAGGACTGTCCCTTCTCCAGTGGGACATGTTTAGGGCTTGTTGACCTGTTGCTTTGGTGACCCCAGGCCTTTGCAGCAGAAATGGTCCCTGAGAGGGCTCAGAGGAAGTGAGATGTGGCAGTGATGTATTTTCTGCTCCTAACAATAGTATTTCTTGGGACATTTTATTATTCTACAATGATTCAGGGCTGAAAAATAATTTCTACATGACGTGCAAACTGATTCTTGAATAATTTTGTTAAAGACTAAGAAGCATACATGCAAGTTATTTCTCTGACACACACTGTTTTCTTTTTTAGGACCACAGAACCTGCCTTGGAGCTTATTAAAATTTACTTTTTTTTTTTTTTTTTTTTTTTTTTAAACAGGAATTTAACTGAGAGGATCTAAAGACCTTTAAGTGAAACACTGCTGGCTCCTAATTCTGGGGTGGATCATGCTTTTGTTGTATAACTATGAACTCTCTGTGTCACAGGAATAAGGGCAGTAAATATTTACATATTTATAGTGCAAGTAGTTATTCAAAAGCTGAGGGTTTTCCTATGGAGAGCTGGATTGGATGAAGAAATCCAACGCGAAGAAATCGTCCCCTGTGAGGGTGGCGAGGCCCTGGCCCAGGTTGCCCAGAGAAGCTGTGGCTGCCCCGGGATCCCTGGAAGTGTCCCAGGCCAGGTTGGACGGGGCTTGGAGCAACCTGGGCTGGTGGAAGGGGCGTGGCACTGGAAGGGCTTTAAGGTCCCTCCGACCCCAGCCAGCCTGGGGACTGCAGGATAAAGGAAACCGAGCGTACCTAAGGCGGCAGGTCCGTGCGGCGGCTCGGTCCCGCAGGCACAGCGGACATTCCCCGCGGGAGCGCGGGTGGCAGCGCCGGTGACGTCAGCGCCACGCGGGGTGACGTCAGCGGCGCGGGGCTCCCAGCGCCCCGCGCGGCGGAGAGCGGGGAGGGGGGGGAGCGGCGCGTGCGGGGAGCGCCCGGGCGGCAGCGCTCCCGCCATCCATCCCCTGGATCCCCCGCGTCCCCCCGTCCTTCTGGCCGGCCCCGCCGCGATGTTCTCCAGGAAGGGCCACGCCGACGTCAGGAAATCCACGCAGAAGGCGCTGGACCCGAAGCGGGACGTGCTGACCCGGCTGAAGCATCTCCGCGCGCTGCTGGGTGAGTGCGGCGGCCGGGAGGGGACCCCCCGCGCCCTCATTCCTCCTCCTCCGGGCGCTCCTCGCCCTCCCAGCGCTGCCCGGGTGAGTGTTTTCCCCCGGGACAGCGGTGAAACGGGGGCATAACCCCCCCCCTTCGCTGCCCTGGTCCCCCCAGGCTCCCGTGCAGCCCCGAGGGCTCCCCGGGCTGTCGCTGCCGGGGGGCAGCGCTGGGTGTCCTTTCCAGAGGCGTGGGAGAAAGTTGCGGGTGTGTTTCTCTGCTCCTGCCTTTGGGAATTCGCGTTTCCCGGTGTCCAAGCGCTCCTGGTGCAGCCTTGTGGTGTGGGTAGTAAATAGTAGGTAAATGTATTTCCCGCGGGGTTCTTCGGGAGATCTCTTCTGCTTTTGTCAGCAGCGTTAATTTGGGGCTTTTTATTGTGGTGGTTTTTGTTGTTTTTTTTTTGTTTGTTTTGTTTTAACTTTAAAGGAGGCCACGGTATGGCGCTTTGTGATGCTTTTCTGCGCGTGTGGCAAGGTTGAACCTCGCTAATGTCGCCTTGCAGGTGAAGCCTTTCCCCTCGCAGCTCTGCACGTTGAAAGGAGCCGATGAGTTTCAGCTGTTGCTTGTCGGAGGGAGCTGATGCGCTTCAGCTGTGAGGTGCATGCAGTTCGGCGGGGTTGGACTGGGCACAGCTGGGGCCGTGCGGGGGCACAGGTGCTCCCTCAGCCCCCTGCCCGGGGCGTGCCCTGCGCAACCTCGCCAGGGCTGGGCTCGGAGCGAAAACCTTGTGTCCGGTGTCCCGCCGGCAGGAGAAAACACACAAAAGAAGCTTTTTAGCGTGCTGCGGCAAGGCGAGGAGGCTCTGTGGTCAGGGCGAGGGACGGTCCCGAGCGAGCAGAGAGCGGTGCTCGCCTTGCCCTTGATGGCGCGGAGCGATCGCCCTGAGGGGACGTGAGGGGGGCAGTGGCCGTTGGGCTCGTGAGGGGGGCAGTGGCCG